AATTCGGTTTAACGGGGTAGATTTACTATAACTGATCCTGGAACCATCTTCGGTTGTAATTAGTGCTTCGGTTAAACAGGGTTCGTTATAACGGCTTTGTATTAAAAAACCAGGAATAGTAAAATACGGAACTTTCTCTAATTGTAGGTTATTATATTTGTTTGATATAAAAATATTGGATTTTAACAGGACAGTGCTGAATCAGGTGAAAACTCTTCTTTGCAAAATTTTTACAATTGGTAATCATAAATAAGAATTTCAGCATATTTTTGTAGTATTAGAGGATTATTGAAATCTAGTGTTGCGGTAAATTCTAGGAATAAATTTTTTGTGTTCTAACAATATTCCTTGCAAAATTTTACATATATAATTTGAGCAATGTAACCTCGATAGAGATCCTAATCCTAATTCTAACTGTAATCGAGATATTATTCATTTGCGTTGCAATTTGAGATCGTTCAAAATCCCGACAGTTCATAAGTCCGCCAAACGTAATCCCGAAAGAACGGCATCCCGAATAATCGAAATCCCGTAAGATCGAAATCCACATCTCGAATGCACGAAATCCCGGAATCTTGATAATTTTGGTATTTTATGCATATGGGGCTTGAGGAATATTTTTATGCACATGTCGTAATCGCTCGTTTTTGTGTAAACAATTTCAACAGTTTCATCATCGTTGATGTTATTTGTTAAATACATGTTTTGAGAAATTATTATTGCGGTATTTGTGAAAAAATAAATAAATAACCAAGATGTTGTGAATTCTCTCGATAATTTCATAATTTATGTATTGTATGTATCAGTTTATCCCGTAAACCATCAATTTTAAGCACCCCCTATTAGTAAGCACCATTTACGTTTTTAGTAATTTTAAATTTATAATAGTTTAATCTTTATTATTACTTGATTTGAAAAAACCGGTTTAAATCAGCACCATTTGGCTAAAATGATCATTTCCCGGTGCTAAAATATTGATGGTTTATGGTGGTTGCAAATGGAAACTGTGTCATCCAATAAGGATTCGGTTCGCACCGATCCTTAGAATTGGACCGTTAAAATATGGGGTTACGCATAACGTGTGACTTAAAATTAGGACCGAATCCTTTTAACAGTTCCATTTTAATAATAAGACCGAACTTAGTTATATTTTTCTAAGAACAAAAGAATAACTTAATTGCTAAGAGAACATTAAAAATTTAAACTTCAATTTTAACCTTAAAGCTAATGAATTAGTTTTAAGAAATTACACTGTGAATTTAAATTTATTTATTTGTGAAACAAATATTTAATGCTATAAAAAAAAGTCAGATTAAATTGAGGTTTAAATTTTTAGATTTTTTACGGGGTGATATATTAAGCGATTTGATTGGAAAGTTTGTACAGAAAAAATTCTTTCTTATAACGAATTCGAGGATAGGCTTGGCTATTAAATTAAGATAAACAAAAATAATTTCGCAATTATGCTGGGATAGTTGGCCCACTTCCATCTTTGAAACTCAACTTATAGAAAATATTGCCGTGATACTCATTTTTTGGTAAACTTTTTCTACATTTTTCACCAATTGGCCGACTAGTCCGAATTTATCTGCTTGACCGATGTGGTTGAACCGTTCAGGACGGTCTAATTGCAGGACCTTTAAAATCTGTAATATTTGACATCGTAACCAAATGGTACAAGTCAACCTTCCTATAACGACACTTTTTTATAATGAATTCCCTCTATAGCGACAAAATTTTCTAGGATGATTCATATATTACTATGGAAGATTAACCTCTATATAATGACCTTCTCTTTATAAGGACAAAATTATCCTGAATATTTGATGTCGTTATAGAGAGCTTGACTTGTACCACAATATGTCAAAGATTCATGAATATGATAAGATTCTTTTTCAGGTAGATGAATTTTATGAGCGTGAAAATTGTAAAAGAGTGCGAGAAAAGCTTGTTCATAATATTATTCTGAAGGTTGTTGATTGTTGATAAAAATTTCTACATATTAGCAAAAAAGATGCGAATTTATATGAAATCAATAATTGCAGTGTTAAAATTTACGATTTATTATATATTCCCTTTTTTACGACTTGTACTATACTATATAAATTTTCGAAATAATTCATAACCATTCGATATTAAGAGAACGGTTTTTTACACAGCAATAGAATATTTTTCAGGAAAAATTAGTTACAGAGAAAATTACATTAGATTGTGAAAAGATCTAATAAACATTTGAATAGTTTCTATACGGAGAATTAAATTTATATGGACATCACTTACGAATTCTCGTGTTCTATTTATTCCGTGTTTTTATTTTGGCTCTTATGCTAAATAGTTTAATTTTTAATTTATTTCTTGCGTCAAGCTTCTCGAAGCATTTGAGCACCAATTTTTCTCTGTAGCCTATCGTAATTATTAAACCAATAGACGAGAGCGCAGGAAATTGCCCATATCAATAATGAAATACAAGGTTGCCGCCAGTGGAATAAAATTATTGATTCTAACTGAATTGCGAATAGAAGACACCAAGTGAGGCCTCGCATTATAATCGAATATATAATGTCATCTAGAGAAATTGGCGACATCGTTTGCTCAGTTACAGGAAATTGCGCTTTTTCAGCACTGATACAATCATGACGTTTAGATGGATTTGAGGTGGGAAAATTGATATAGTTTAATTCGGGTGAAATTTTCTTGGTAGATGATAAGGATGAATAGAGGTGTTTCTGGAATAAAAGTTCATCTGCTTTTGATGATGCAATTGAAGTTGACCTTTTTTTGATTCTGCATTGATTTCGAATTTTTTCAATATTGGTCTTTTTGTTAAAGTTAAAGTAGTCAAAGGAAGCCATTTCAGGAATTAAATATAAAACTTTTAATTCGAAAGGATAAAATTTGAATTAATCAAATTCAGGTGTATTTATATATTCGCCTGTAATCTGCAATGAAAACTCCTTACATATTTATAGATTTTTTGCTTCTCTATTCATCTTGCTTTTTTTTATTATAGTGTATTAATAAAGTCATACGTTAAAACCAATCAAAATTAGTTTTTTCTCTTTTATTGTTAATGAGGAGTTGGTCCGAAGCATCCTGCCTGTCTATAATATAATGCTTTATGCAATATAAGGTATATAAAAACAGGCTGCACCATTGTTGTATTGTGATACTAAATTTCACAATACCTACATTTTACAGAGCAAAGATTAGTCATTACGATAGAACTCGAATATCTCCGCCCCAAACGAAAATTGACTGTTAATGATTCGGCTACTTTTATCCTTTTGAAAACATTATTCAGGGAATAGTCACATCCATTAATGTGAAAAAATAGAATCTTGAAGATAATGGATATAATCACGTTCCATATCCTATAACTTAGGGTTTATTGAACTTTGACTTCGTAAGTCATTTCAAATAAAGTCAAAGATTGTATTATGATATCAGATTCGAACTTTTAATAATTCTCACACATTTTCAGCCGAAATCTTAGTTTTACATAAAAGATTAGAAAGGATAAGTTTTAAGTTCCTTATCAATGATATTGTATGTTCCTCGCCCTAAATATGAGTCAAAGGATGCTGCGGTATGGAGTTACACAATATTTATAGTCGTTGATTGAATATGCTATAAATTATCCGGTCTTAGCTTCCAAAATCATGCGTCAATAATCCATAGCAATAGTCGCAAAAGCGGTCCTTCCCTCATAGCTCTTCTTTGAACATTCCTGATTATCATACATCAATGGACTTGCGAATTCATCAATTTTGCTAATTTCGTTTTAGCGAAAATGTTATTTGAATATGTCATCATCTCCGAGGACATGTACTTTATTCGATTTAAGGCTCTTTTGACGCCTTAGCAAAAAGGCCTCTTCTCGTATCTCTTTTATAACATGATAATACATTTACCAAGAAATTGTTCGGGTGAGGGTGATGATAAATTTGCAATGGCGTATTTGTCTAAAAACATCGATTTTCTTTTTTTTCTTTTTTTAGCAACGGTGCAATGCCGTTTTTGGCAAGATCAAAATGGCCTTTAATAAAACGAAAAATTCACTTGGTCAAAATATTAAAAATTTTACGCCTTTCAGATTTTCGAATAGTATCTTTTTTTATTTCAATTCAATTCAAAGTTTTATTTAAACATATACATCAAAATTTAACTGCAAGATGGGTGAGTGGGTGGGTGGACGGAATATTCAATGATGGGTGGGTGGGTTCTCCAAACATGAAAATATAATCTGAATAAATTTGATGGGTAATGCGAAAATAAAAGAGTCTAGTGAATCTAAGCGATAGGAAATTGTTTTGCGCCTCTGTGTGTGTATCTTCACGCTCAGGGGCAGAAATAAAGTGGGGAGTCATTCAAAAGGAATAAACTAAATCTGTTAATAAGCGAAAAAGATGAGTTAAAATTATTAATACAGCTTTCGAATTTTTTTCTTAGGTGTGTATATACGTGTAAGAAAATGAAGTGTGTGTATGTGCTTAATTTATATGCTATATTGTACATGTGTGTAAATATATGTAAATGCAAAATAATGTGTGCAGTTGGTTTATAAAGACAAGAAATTCGTTAAACAAAAAAAAATAAGTAAAAAAATAAATAAAATTTTGTCATATATGATTGTCAACGGATAAAAAAAAACGCGAGGTGAATGTTGACGTAATAATAAATAAATGAAGGGAAAAGAAAAATGTAACAGAAAAGAGAAATAAACCCAGAACAGAATATAATGTTATTGTTATAATGAATAAAAAGAGTGGGGAGCAAAGAGAAAATACAGAACAGAAAAAATATGTACAAAAAGATTTCTTTGCGATTTCGTCTCAGCATAAGAAATCGAATGAAAGGAAGTAAAAATTGTGATGCAAATGGGAAATGAATGCAAGGAAGAGCAATGACGAGGCACAAAATATGCCTCGATTTTAATTGAATGAACTCCGAGCTAGTTAATTTCGCATATCCACAAACATCAACTGATGATTGTCTCTATGAAACAGGTAAGGCTCAATCTTTAATACATAAACTTCGACTTTGTTGTCCCATGATACCCGCCGTTTCATGATCTCGTTATCAACCACAATGTCAGTCTCTTCATTGTCATTAGAAGAGGGTGTTGTAGTCTTAGGAGAGGAGGGCGGCGTACAAAGACCATTACTATTTCGTAGACATCCACGTTTTGGAATTTTATTTATGCTATAATCTCTGTTGTCGTTCTTTATTATATGCTGTAATAGAGATGAGAATATTATAAGTCATATTGTAATGAAATCGAGAATAAAGGTTTTAGAAAAAAATTACCTCCGAAGCGATATTCAGAAACGACACAACATCCACATCATTATCACGCCAATTTGCCAACATTTGCAAGAACCTCGTTAATTCAAAGCGTCGTCTCTCGATAAATCCCGGATCATTATTTCCTGCAATTTTCCAATATACGACACGTTAACGATGCTTATCATTATTGTCAAAGCAACGAAAATAACTCACCAAAGTATTGTTTATCCGGAAACGGAGGTAATCTTATCCATCCGTACTTTGTCGCAAGCTTTTGATAGAGTGCTAAAAACTCGCGATATCTTTTACGCGTAACTGATTTTCCGATGGATCCGTCGCCTGCTCTAAACTGAAGAGATCATATATACATTGAGTAAATGCGTTTCGTCACAAAAGTAACGAAATACTTACAACTGTGGTTATCTGATACTCCGTGAATGAACTCCACCAGAACGGACCTCCCCATTTAGTTACCCATGTATCAATAATCACCTATTCAGGAGGATATCGATATCAATGTTTTGTTTGTATTTAATTTTTTGACCAAAAATAGAGGATTAACGTACTGCTTGAATCAACCGTTTATGAGGTGGAGGAGCAATACCCTCTCGGTCTATCAAAAGTTTTGATTAACAAAGAGTAAAACTTCTAAGCAATTATTGAGTAAACGAGGTAAGAAAAAAATTTAACGACAGTCTAACACTTACTCGTCAAGTCATACTTTGAATGATATAACACATTTTTTTGTTGGGAAGACATGTCTTATAAGATAAAGAATAAAATACTATGTGTATGTTTTAAATGTCCAGGTTACTTTATATAAGATAGAATAATAATAGAATAATAATACTACTTTTTTAACCCCAATAAATAACACAAACAATACCAAAAAAAAAAAAGAGAAATTATTTAATGTCCCGAAAAATAAATGAAGCTATATATAAAAACGGTAACAATAGAAATATAACCTGGGATAAAAAACTAATTAAGCTAATGAAATTAACATTAAAGCTGCGTATTACGGTCAATGAGTATAGTCAATGTATGTATGTATGTGCAGACGATGTCTTTTTTGAGTTCATTCACTTGTATAAGACTTTTGTGGATGTTGTGAAAGGTATCTCCAACAGAGGGATGCATAAATAGGAAAATAAGAGCGAAAAAAAAAGACGCGTGATCGAAAATTAAATTTTTCGAACAATCACTGATGTTTGATTTTCAATTGGATATTGGTTGGATGTGATGTCGTGTGAATGCAAAAAATAAATCCGAAATAAATAACGATAAACAACAAATAAATAATAAATCATTATTGCGCAATTCGAATTCATTGGACAAGAAAGTTTCTATTCATTATCAACTTTATTCTTCTCTCCCTCTCTCATATGCGCGCACCATGACGCTTATTCATATTCGTAAAGAGAGAGGGAGAGAGAAACAGAGAGAGAATATTATCTTATAATATTTCAACCTAAGAATAGAACTTCAGAAAAAACCAAAACGAACAGCCCTCATTTTTATAACAAAGCAAAGCACAAACGCTCTCTTTGGACTTGACATTAATTAGGTAGATAGATGGTAGATGTCCCTCCCATTGTCGTTTTGTTTTCGAGATTATGTACGGTCCAACTTTTTTAATGAAAATCCAAAATCTCAAATCAGACATAAATTAACAATTCTACAATCTGACGCACAAACTATATTATTTGACCAACCAATTCATCGAAAAGAACAATACACACCTTGTAATCATCGTATAACATACGTCAAAGAAAAACAATAGAATGTATGCACGCATGTGTTATGTAAATATCTTTTCGATCTCATATCTTAGCTAGTACAAATATATCATAGAAAGATAAATGATAAACTTTATTAGGAAATTTCTTTAATAAACACAAAAAAGACAAGTAAAAATTCTTGCTCGAAACACGTTCTATTGGAATTAAATAAAAATTGTTTGTAAAATCGCGAAAATCATCCCCGAATCGAGCTTTAAACTCAGTTAGTTAGCCCTTTTTGCGTTCATTTTGATTTCTTTTTCATATTATCGTGGTTGAATACTGTGGCATTTTTCCGAAGCACGTTTATTGTATTTTCACGTAGTGAAGACAACAAAATTAAAATTTTAATTTTTCCAGACAATACAAGAGCTTGCCATTGATCTTTTCAGGAAGGTTGTGCTACAGCATATTAGCTTAAAAAGTTCGATCTGAAATTTCATCTTATTTATGCGAGATCATAAAAAAATCGAACGAGCTGGGATAAGACGAAAGTGGTTCAATGTTATCTCTGATTATCTAGATGCAAGCGCAGCTTCAACTTTGTAATTAATTTTTTACGAAAATAGAAAGGACTAATCAATTGTCAATCCACTAATAGAATATGAAATTAAAGGACGTAATAAATAAACATGCAAGTTTATTCTGATAAATTTAAGGGATTTGCATAAGATAAAAGAATTTTATCCGTATGGATGTTTTTAAGATACATGTATTACGTTCTAACCACATTCTTCTTATCTTTACATAAATTTATGAAAGCTCTTATATAGCACTGCATGAAAGACCCGATACTATTCACGATTCCTGTGTTTTCATGAGGAGAATATCTTGCTATGAAGATATATGTGGTAACCAAGAAATATATCTAGAATCAATAATCTAAGAAATCAATTAATTAATTCGATCAATTATTTTCTTAAAATTTGAATAATAATAAAATACATATTAAAAACAAATATTTTAAGATACTAAAATCAAGGTTTGCATTTATCCAAAATTATATTTATATAAAAGTTATGTTTTTAAATATGTAATTGTTTTTTTATAATATAATTACAATTCATATAATTTATTTTTTTATAATTATAATTTTCCAGCTTTAATTATAGAAAATCTGATTTATATAATTATAATAATATTTTTCTGATTTGAAATATGATAATGATCAAATTATTTTATATTTGAAGAAGCAAAATTGGATGATTGTAGAGATTTGACTATTTTAATCATAGTTAATAAAAAGTAAAATTGAAAAATTATAAAAGTTGTGATTAATTAGATTATTAAGGGGTAAAAATTATATGCAAGTCATTTATTATGAATTTTATTAATAGAATTATCAAAATTTATATAAATTTGATAAGAAACATGACTATACATGTACATGAATGAAAAGATTCCTCTAAATGCATCTCCTTTAAATACATGTACATACCTCCGCTGAATGCATAATTGCATATAGCTGTCTCTAAATATGCAAATTCCTCTACATGCATACTATAGTGGTCCCGATAGTGTGCATTTAAAGGAGTGTGTGTATTATTTGAATATAAATCAAGTGTTTTTTTACGTTTTAATAATTTACTATTCTTTCTTCATCCATTAGATAAATT